GAATGCTTTCATAGCACAATGCTGAGCATGCCACAACTGTGCTGGGAGACCCTCAGTGGCCCCCCATTGCCCACCAACTAAGGAAGACCAGACTCCTCATCTGGCATGTGAGGTTCTCTGTAGTTCTCATTCCAACCTGTCCAACTAGACTCGTTTCCCATCACATGGAACCTCACAGTCTAATGAATGCAGTAATTTTCTATTCCCCAAATAGGCCTCAAGTTTTCCTACCACAACACATTTATTTATCTTCAATCTCCTCCTCCTCTTCCCTTCCTCTTTACCCAACTTCCAAGTCCAGCTCAAATTCTCAGTCTTCATGAAGTCATTGATCTTTTCTTTGAATTCCTCAAAACATTTCCATTGTAGGAATCTCATAGTTCCTAATACAATCAGCTTTGATTCATGTCATAAGTTTCAATATTCAGCTGTGTATTAATATGTTATATTATTAAAGGGCCACAAACAGCCTTGAATATCAAACTGCCTTATCCATCTCTGTCCTTTACCTGAGTGTCTAACCTAATGCTTTAGACATAAGAAGCATTTAACCTGTGTCTGTTGAATTAAGGAATAACATTTAGTCCTACTTCACACACCATCAAATTTTCAAACTTCAGTTATACTCTTAAGCCAGTGATAGTCAATTTTCTTTTATTCTCTTTCTTGTATCTCAGATCATTTTTCCTAATGATTTTATACATATTTTATGCATAGATTAAAACACATGTAAGTGGTCTTTCATTTTATATACAGATGTTTTTCAACTTATGATGGGACTACATCCCAATAAATCCATCATAAATTGAAAATATTATGTCAAAAATGAACCCCATGAACCCTGAAAGAACCAGTCCCTCAGGATGAATCATGAGTGGTTAACTGGGCCTAAATTCAAATTAAAGCCAAGCAGCCATTTGCTGAGTAGGGGTCACAAACCTACTCTGAATTCCTAGAAAACCCACAAATCTAATTAACTTTGGGAATTTCATAGCTGCCTGTTTCTGTTTATGCTGCCTGAATCAATCCATAGGTTGTGCATCAGCCAATTGGAACACAGCAAACATCAACCAATCAGAACAAGGCAAGTTTGAATCTTTCATTTGCATAAGTGAATCTAATTGGAAACCTAGGGGGTTGGGGGACACTTTATAAAAGACAAATCTTCCCTTGTTCTCTGGAATGCACCTTCACTTTGTACCAAAGGGTGCATGTGCCCATTTGCAAATTGTTTCCTGGAATAGTCTCTTTCCTTTCCTCTAAATTCCTTTACAGAGAACTTTTGTTCACACATCTAACTTACCCAACATCATAGCTTAGCCTACCTCAAACATGCTCCAAACTCTTAGCATAACTGACTGGGACCTGCAGCTACTGCCCAGCATCACCAGAGAGTATCCTACTGCATACTGCTGGCCTGGGAAAATATCAAAATTCAAAATACAGCTTCCACTGAATGCATATTGCTTTTTAGAAAGTTGAAAAATCACAAGTTCGGGTCTGTTTGTACATTTATTTTAAATTAAAATGCATAGCATTTCTTATTATTAAGTGAACTACTAAGAATAGTAGGCTGTTTCGATAAATATCAAATTTAAAGTAGAGGGTTAGGAGTGGCAGTTTGCAGTCAGCCATTCCTATATCGACTTATTTCTGCATTTTGACTTAGTTTCATGCTACTGAAAAAAAATCTTAATTCATACAGATAAGTCACAGTGAGCAATTTTATGTGAGTGGACATTGGCAGGGTAATGACTTTCATTTTTCTTTTACAGCTTAGATACAACCTGCTATGTCAGTGACACATAAGAAATGCCATACATAGCAATTAAGAACACAGGCTCTGATTTAATTCCTGCCTCCACTATTTAATAGTGCAGACCTTAAAGAAATTATTCAGCCTCCATTTCCCCATCTGTAAATTGGAAATGATAACAGTATTTCCCTAAAAAGGTTGTGCAAGAGCAAGATAGGTCACACAGGTTAACATCTCAGTGGTCTTCAGTATGTAAAAATGTAGTATATGACACATCAGAGTATCCAGTTATATTGTTTTGATCATATATTGAGCAGACACTAAGACATTTACAAAATACATGTAAAGTACAAAGAATCGCAATGTAACAAAAGCAATGTACTCACTCAGTTTAAGAAAGAGAAAATGACCTTTACTTTTGAAATAGCCAGTGTGCCCCTTCCGCATTCCATTCCCTTCTCTCCCCCATGAGGTATTTTATTCTTAATTTTTGTTTTTTGCACTTTCCAGTAATTTCTTGTGCCAGTCTCTGTTCTAAGTGCTTTGCAACATTTATCACTTCTAATCCTCATAACAATCCCACACAGATAGCATTATTATCTGCAGCTGGTAAACAGAATGGTCAGAATTTGAACCCAGGTAGTCAGCCTCCTTGGGTCTATGTTCACCCAGTCAATTATTTTTGCAGAACACCTGATACTGCCAGGCTTGAAACCTCGTTCAAAGGGCACTCTCATGTTTCATACTTGTGTGAACATTTTTTAAACACCCACAAAGCGCCAGACACTGTGCGGGGCACAGCAAAGCTTAGAGAAAAGCTTCTACCTAGCTAGCCACTGGCAATTCCCAGAACATCCGGTTCCTCCCACAGCTGGTGTCTCTGAACTCCACCCGCTGGACAAGCAGGCCCTGGCCAGGGAGGGCCTGTAAGATCCTGGGAGCCCTGTGCAGCCTTGAGGAAAGGCAAGCAGGCCCAGACGCTCCACTTTATAGTGTTACCCAGGGAGTTTTCAACAGCCATCAATCCCCCCAAAATGATGAGAAATTCCAAACTGTTCTGCCCCACACCCAGCCTCTTCCTCATCAAGACTTCCTTGGAGACGTGGTTGCTCCGAAAGACGCAGGAATCTGCAGGAATCCATGGCCTCTGCCAGCAAGCAGGCCAGACGGCAGCCTTGTGGCCCAGCCCACAAGCAAAGGCCTGACTTTAGCAGCATGTCACTCCTCTAATTATTCCCTGTGCATGGAGTCCAACATAAACACAGCGTCTTTCACAAGCAGCTCCCACCATGCACGATCCTTGGAACCTCATACTTGCAGCCAAGCACTGGGACGTGCTAAAGGGTCAGAGGGTTTGTGGGGCCTGCAGTCCCCAGGCCTCTGGGGGAGAGTCCCAACTGCTCTCTAGTCCAAAATCTAGACACAAAAGAAACTGCCTGAGGCCCCAGCTGCCTCCAGGTCCTGTTTCCTGGGGCTGGCCTGCAGGTCAGACCATAAGAAGGACCAGCAGGTCAGACAGCAACTGCATCTAAGTCAGGGGGACAGGAAACTAAAGATGTTTCCTCAAGGGTCACATTCTCATAGCAAGTGCACCCCACAATGCACTCAGTGCTGCAAACTCTTTTTTTATTTGTTTGTTTTGTTTTTTTAGTATTTACTAAATACCAGTCCTAGTAGACATCGGGGGTATGGAGGGGAATATGGTTCTAGAATACAACAGCAAGCAAAACATCAAGGGCTCTACTCCTATGCAGCTTGTATCATTGAGGGGCCAGGAGACAGGCAATAATCAAACTCATGAGACTATTTCAGATTGTGGTTAGTGCTTTGAAGAAAATAAAATATTGACATTGCATGGGGGTGTGCAGGGAAATGAGTATTTGAGCTGAGATCTGAATAAAGAGGAGTTAACAATGCAAGGGCCAGGGAGAAAGCATTCTATTAAATAGATAGAGGGGACAGAAGTGCAAGACCCTGAGGCCTTTGATTAAATAGTGACTAGGGGTTTAAGAAATGTTTTATGGAAATGTTTTATGGAAATTTAATATTCTAGTACATGGTAGGGATAAGAGTTATTTTCTTAAGAGTTGTAAAGATCAAAGTCCTTTGTTGGAAAGAACTTTCCCCTGGCTTTAAACAAGTATGTAATAATAATATGTGTAGATATACATTTATATTTTACATCTCACAAGGGTCTTTTTTAGAAGGCTTTCATGTCCTTTATCCTTTAAACTTTTATAATATAGGTTTGAAAGCATGATACAATCTTTAACTTCCAGTTTGCGTATTGTGAGATCTTTTTCTTAGAACTAATGAAGACTTCCGTTCTGTTGGGATGTAATTTACCTCCCTTGTGGCAGAATTTGAAATAAGAATGCCGTGTACCTCTAATTGCAACTATGTAAAAAAATAAGTGTATACAAGGATCGAGAAGGTGGGAGTATAGGAAGGGGCGGAGGTTGGTTTTCAATATTCCTTTTTTTGTTATTAAACTAGGGGAGAAAATAATACATTGTGCACAACTGTGTAGCCTCCTTGTCCTCGATGTTAATAAATGTGATTTTAACTGCGGTTTAGATCACATTTCTAACATCACTACACCCTACATCCTCTCCAGGCTGCAATTAAAGTTGAAAAGTGCACAAGGTCTTCGCAAACCCCCGCACAGTGAGCGCGTCGGCGCACGTACGCTGCATGTGCACCCGTCTTTCTCTCTGCGGACACACTTTCTCGGGGATCCTTGAGGCCTCCCCAGCCATATTTCTCCCTGGGCTCTTATTAAAACCAGGTGCGCGGAAGGCGGGCCATTTTGGACAGAAAAGCCTTCGCTTGACCCAAAGCTCCCCCTTCCGGTGTGTTTTCTAGAGGGAATTCCTGAGCTGAGCGGAGGAGAACGCAGGCCGCCTCTCCCGGCCAGGGAGACGGGAGGTTCGCAACCGGCCTGCGGCCCGGGCTGCGCGAGGGCGGAGCGCACGAGGGCGGCAGGTGAGGCTGAGGGGGTAGACAGCTGGGGACAGGGACCCTGCCGCCCCCCGCCTCGCAAGAGCGGCGTCCGCGAGCACTGAAGGACCTCAGGCACCACAGCTCCTTCCGGGGCGGAAGGGAACTTGAAACCCGCGCGGGCCGGATGCCGCAGGCCGGGGCCCCCGCGTGAGGGAGCCGGCGGGAGCCCTCGACTCCCTCCCAGGGCTCCCCGCGACGCGGCGCCAGGTCCCAGGACAACCAGGGTCCCCCGAGCGCTTACCCCTCCGCGGCCCGCGTCACTTGCGCCTCCAGGGGCAGGTGGTGCTGACGTGGCGGCCCGGGCAGCCCCGCGCCCGGGTCTCTAAGCTCCGGGGGACGCCTCCGTCAGGCCCAGGCCCAGGCCCCCCGGGTTCCCTGTGCGCTTCTCCGCCTGCGACCGTTGACTGCAGAGACCCGAGGCCTCGCTGCGGCCTGTGGCCCGAAGGAGCAGACGTGGGAGGGCGGTGGGGCCCTGCGGCAAAGACGTCGTCGCCCTCATGGAGCTCTTAATGAAGCTCACTAGAGAGCTGTGGGAGCTTCGCCCCGCTAGGCCTGAATCCGAACTCTAGGTCGCATCCGAACTCTGGGCGTTGGTTACTTGTTTGGGTCAAAGATTTGAATATTTGCATCTTTGATTAGACTAAAATTATTCTAGGTAAAGAGAGAGGCCTCGGACGGAGGAGGAGCATTGTTAGGGCACAAAAAGTCAAGGCGCATGGAGGAACAAGGGACCTCAAAAATTGCATTTCCAAATTTTAAGTGGCCATTTCCTGTTCCTTGGGCCAAAAAGCAAGCAGACCTGTGTTTTCAATTTCTCTAATTACTGTTTTTATAAAAGCCCATTTCCAGGAACTGTGTAGCCTGACAGCCCTTGTTTTTTGAAGAGGTTGCATGAATTTTAAATACCCCAAGTAAAGAGACAGCTGGCCAGACGAGGTTAGGTTAGGAAGCCGTACTGCCCCAAACGTTTGCCTGACACGCTCAACTCCATAAAAACCACTTGGAAGTGGGTCACTCGCACATCTGGGCTTGGTGCCTTGTTTGGTGTTAAAAACTGTTCTCAGCCTTAACCCCAAGATCCTATGACAAGTAACAAGGGAATTCCAGAGAAGTTCCAGATTCAAGCAACTCTGGTCATTTCTGGCAAAACACTAAGCCAGTTTGTCAAATTGTGGTCCATGGACAATCTACAATTGATTTTTTGGGGGTTCTTGTTATGGGTTCAGGATTTAGGGCCTACACTATAGCTGATGAGTTAGATTAAGGGGAATGGGGCTCACAAACCTGCATTTTAATAAGCTCATCTTGTGAGATTTTGAGAATTACTAGATTTGGCCTTTTGTTTGGCTTTGCTGAATTGGTGCTTGTTTTTCTATCTGAAGCCCTCCCTGAAAAACAGCAGTGTGACACATTCTTTTTTTTTTTTTTTAAAGTGTACACTGTGAAGTTTGGCTTCCAAATGAGTGTGCCTTATTTCGGAAAGTCATGAATTTTTTAAAATTATGCCTAAAGCATTACTTCTCACTCTATGGGGCTGTGGGCACATCCTGATGGTAAATAGGAGGATTATGCCCTGTGCTTTCTATTAATACTATCTTGGGCTGTTTGTCATTCTGAGCCAGACACCTCTACCCTGCCTATTTTTCTTCTACTGCTTCACTCAGGCCTTGATCAGTGCAGCTCTCTTTAGGTAAAATTGAAGCTGAGTCATGGTGGCTTTGGGAATAACCATTCCAAATTGGAGTAGCTCAGAAGGTTCAGGAAACCATGTCTCAAAAAAAATGAAATTAGCTGGGCATGATGGCATGTACCTGTAGTCCTGGCTCCTCTGGAGCATGAGGCAGGAGGATTGCTTGAGCCCAGGAGTTCAAGTCCAGCCTGAGCAACATAGTGAGATCTTATCTCTTGAAAAAAGAAAAAAAAATTGGAAATTGCTAGATAACATGGTTTTTTTTTACCTTATTGAGGAGACATATAACCAACTGGGAGTGAATGTGAGGCTAAATTAATAATTACATAAAAGCCTAAGCAAGTAAACAAAATATAAGATTATTATTCCTGGGGAAAATAGTTGTGTTAGAAAAGAAAAGAAATCTTTGATTCTACATAGCTCAGCAGTGAATTGCATATATCTAGTCATAGTAATGTGAACACTAAATATTGCTCTAACCAAATTTATGATAAAACTGCATCAAGGGCCAGGTGTGGCTGCTCACACCTGTAATCCTAGCACTCTGGGAGGCCGAGGCGGGCGGATTGCTCAAGGTCAGGAGTTCAAAACCAGCCTGAGCGAGACCCATCTCTACTAAAAATAGAAAGAAATTAATTGACCAACTAAAAATATATATACAAGAAAATTAGCCAGGCATGGTGGTGCATGCCTGTAGTCTCAGCTACTCAGGAGGCTGAGGCAGTAGGATAGCTTGAGCCCAGGACATTGAGGTTGCTGTGAGCTAGGCTGATGCCACAGCACTCACTCTAGCCTGGGCAACAAAGTGAGACTCTGTCTCAAAAAAAAAAAAAAAAACTGCATCAAGAAGATGGAGTATAAGCAGTAGGTGCCAGGGTGGCCAGGTAAGGATGAAAACTGAATTCTTTGTTTTTGTTTATTTGTTTGTTTGTTTTTTGAGACAGAGTTTCATTCTGTTGCCCTGAAAAGAGTGCAGGGTGTCATCACAGCTCATGGCAACCTCAAACTCCTGAGCTCAAGTGATTCTCCCGCCTCAGCCTCCCAAATAGCTCGGACTACAGGTGTGCACCATCACACCTTGCTAATTTTTCTATTTTTAATAGAGAGGGTCTTGAAGTCTTGCTCAGGTTGGTCTTAACCTCCTGACTTCAAGTGATCGTCACACCTCAGCCTCCCAGAGAGCTAGAATTCTAGGCATGAGCCACCATGCCTGGCTTTGAAAGCTGAATTCTTATACTCCTTAATGGAAATTAATAGATAAAACCTAAAAGAGAAAAACTAAGCGTGTATTTGGTTATACACCAAATATTTGGTTTTTAACCAATAAATATTTGGCAAATATTTAACATGTTTTAAATACTAGAATAAATAACTAAAAGATTTAAAAGCAGTTGCCTCCAAGAAGAAGGAGATTGAAAAGATGGGTGGTTCTGAAACTACTACTTTTTGTGATAAACCTTGTAGAACTATTTGATTCTTTAAACCAACTGGATATATAAGTTTGATAAAAATCAAAATTAATTTTTTAAAAAGACCAACACAATTCTGAATCTCCTCCATACAGTCCAGGAAAATCTGCTTCCATCTCCTTGTTTTCTCAAATCAAACTTATTTTATTTTCCAAGTGATAGTTTTCTACATGACACCTCTATTATTTGCTGCCATTGTACTCACATTTTCATGGAATAGGTTTTTGTGAGTTAGCCTGAGCACTTAACCATTGCTTACCTTACTTATATGAAGAAATTTTTTTAAAAAATTCAAAACTCCTATTAATTGGGGATTGTATTATCCATGCCCACAGGACTTTACAACTGAAAGACATCTAAAAAGTAAGAGAATATTGTGATTATATTCAATATTGTGCTGCCTGTTTGCTACAGCCAGAGAATGATGTAGCTACTGGCAAAAGGAAAAGTCACCAGGGAAGACGTCAGCAAAAGGCTCAATTCAAGCTGAACCTGGAAAGATGGATGGTAGCTTATATCAATGGCAGTGTCAGTTAGGACTCTTCCTTGCAAGTGACAGATACTCAATTCAAACTAGCTAAGCCAGAAACAGAATTTATTGGCTCACCTAAGTAGGACATCCTATGGAGTCTGGCTTCAGGAAGAGATCGGTCCTGGGTTCAAAGAGTTGCTAAATTCTGTCCATCTTACTTGTGCTCCTCTACAGCTCCAGTCTTCCCTTCCAGCTTCATAGCATGGGGTTGTGATGGGATGGGGATAACTATGTGACTACATATCAAAATCCCAGGGGAAGATTATGATTGGTCCCCATGGGTTCAGGTGAATGGGTACTGTGATTGGCCAGGCCTGAGTCAGTTGCCAGAAAAGGGAAGATAGAGGATAAACTGCTGGCTGCCAAAAAATAATACCTATTATATCCCACTATAATTGTACATACCAAATATGCTCTAGTGGAGATTTATTAGAACCTGGTCTGATGGGCAATATAAGTACATATGCCTCATAAATGCTAAAGCACCATAAAATGTTGGTTGTGAGTCAGTACTAAAATGTAAGTCTGCATGGGCCCTGCCCAGCAAAACTGCAATTGCTCGTGGATCCCTTGCTTTCCAAATACTTTAAGTTTTTCTTTCCTCCAAGCAGATTCATTTGGCACAGTTTCCCGGGCTATTGGCCTCTGTCTTCTAATAGAGTCTGCTTCCAACTGCAGTGAAAAATTTGCTCATGTAATTTTTCAAAGGAAGTCAGAAGGAAAAAAAAATGTCCAAAGTTGGAATAGTTTGAAACTAAAAACATAATGGATATGTGTGTGTGTAATCAGATTGTTCTCAGCATCCTTCACTCTACTGTTCCTCTAATCTATTGAGTCACTTTCTTGGCCTTGTTGCTTCAATCTTCAAATAAGCCAAAAATATTTTGCTGATACTAGCTGCAATTTATTGAGTGATGGGATATTTGTAATGTGCTTTGAGACTGAATTTAGAGCCCTGAGGATCAGGCACTTAATTAGTAGGGAAATATTTTTGTCATCTAGAAAAAAAACAAACTTCACATTAGTTAACAGTCTATATTGGAATTTCCAATTTTTATAAGCCTATTTCAGACATCTGATTTTTAATTAGGTGTGAGGTATTCATTTAGTGCTGACAATGTAAAGTAGGCTGATGTCTAATTTTGCTTCTGATAAACCTTTCATTGATGTCAACACTTGAATAGTTCATGCTACATTGAACATCGTATTGGTGGCCGAAAGCTAACTGCTTGTGAATCTGAGTATTGCTAAGAAGACCTTAAGTCAGATCCTGGTAACATTCTCTGTAATGGACTTTAGAAAAATCTTAGGATGTGGCCTCCAGTTCTTTACCAAAGAATTACCAAAACATGACATTATTGGATGCTAGGCCATTCTCAATCCACTTTTTCCTTGCTAGCTTCCTACTACAGATACTGAAAAACTCCAGATAGTACTTTCCCAGCCTCCTCTGCAGCTAGCAATGGCCATATGATCCAGTTGAGGCCATGGATGGAGGAGAGAAATGCCTGGGAGATTTCTGGGAAAGATTATTCAACCCCCGTAAAAGTAGAGGTGTGCAAGAAGATAGCCCTTTTGTTTCCATCCTTCCTGTCTCCTTATTGTTTGGGTCACATTTGAGAATCTAATGCCTGGCGCTTTAGCAGCCATGTGTGACTACTGCTGAAACACTGAGTATGACAAAGCAGAAAAAGTCCAGGTCACTGGGACTATCACTGAGCCATCACACTAACTGGAATGGCCTGGCTTCACATTTCACATTTCATATGAAGTGAAATTTGTAAATTCCTGAATTTCTGCCATTAAACAATCTATCACTTTTAACCAAAGATATGTTTTATCTGTAAATAACTCAAAGATATGAATCACTTACCCAGTAACGATTCTATGCTTTTTCCTTCCCAACTACCCAGATTTTCATCGGGGTGTCCAGTCTCCCAAAGTATCCCATGTAGCCAATGG